CGCAGCGGGCATCTTTACCGGCTCCCTCACAAAGGCGATGCCGGTTTCGGCTTAAAGTGCGCGTTTGTTGGACCATGATAATAATTTATTTATTGTGATTACGAAAAACGTTAGTTGGACCATTGGAATAGTTAAGAAATAAAACTACAAAGATAAATAACTTTTTTTTTATAAAGCAGTCAAAAATGTGATGAAAAAAAAAATCAATAATATTTATAAATGGAACAAAATTTTAATTTTTTTTTTGTTTTGTCCGACTTTTTCGAGGATTTTAAATCTCTGTTTATGAGTATAAAAAATTCTGAGTCTTATAAATAATTTAATTGTGTATATTTTCGCAAATTGTTGGCAAGGATAACCAAATTCTATTTTGCTCAGCTCAAAAAGGTACCTATGCGTTGAAAATTCCAGGCTTAGTTGACAAACTATCAAATTGAGATATAAATATTTTTTCTAATTTGAAAATATAGGTACCTAAAAGAGAAATTTTTCGCTGGGAGATTTTAAATTGCCAAACACCTTTTCTTCAGAGTCGTATGCTTTAAAGTACGTTAACAAGTTAGAATTGTTAAGTAAATTGCATTCTTTTGAGAAATTTACGCAAATTTCGCAAGAGTGGATATGTGATGATTTTTTGATTAAATAGCTACATACATAGTTAAATGCATTTTGAGTGGTCACATTTAGCTCCCAGTAAAATCGTTATTGCCCCAACTGATTGTTTTGAAATATATTTAATTTTCATTAAGCGGAGAACTTGTTTTCCTAAGGGAAAAACGAATCCCGGGATACCTTTCCAGTGTGTGCCCCACTACCGCTAGTGCCCACGAGCCGCCAGTGCTTGAAACAAAAAACACACTCAATATCGCAGACAAGTCAGAAATCGATATTTTGAAAGAAATTTGACCAATTCCATTATAAGTAAACAAGAGAAGCAATGAAGGTCGTAAAAAGCAATGAAGGTCGCATAAAGCAAAAGTCGAAATAACAAGCATTCCAATTAAAGAGGAACAACGGCAGAAACTTAAGGCTGCCTTGGCAAAGAAAAAGAGTTTTCTGATGAACCGGGGCCGTCAAAAATAAAAAATGCAAGAAAATAGAAAAAAAGACGTTAAAAAGTCCATAAAAAAACTAGGTTGTAATTATTCATGCACGGTATGTGCAGAAAAATATGTAAATCAGGGGCGGTTTCTCCATTGGTTCATTTGTGCAGTGAACACCCAGTTCAATTTCATAAAGACACATTATTTTAAAATTACATAAATAACATAAAAATATAAATTTAATTTTAATATTTTTATTTTCATACGTGTTAATCTATATTTTTTGGTACATCATTGCTTTCTGGCTGATCGCGTCTCTGTGGCACAATATACCTAAGTAAACCTTGTCTGTGGCGCATTATGATGAGTGAGCCTAACACGAGTGAGACGATTTGACGAATACATATAGCTAAAAAGAGATGAAAACACGCCAACAGATCCTTCAAACTGTCAAAGAACAAATTAATTGGCGCGCCGCTCACAAACAAGTTTGCCAAACCAGTGTTGCCAGTCTAGTACAATTCACAATTGTACTAGATCTAGTACATTCTGCATGCATCAGTGTTCTCGTGTAAAATATATGTATATATTGTGATCCTTGTTTGGGTTCGTTATCAATAAAGATCCCCTTTTTCCCTCTTCAATGAATTTAGATGTAACTGCAAATAGAATTCGAAAAATCTGGTACATTTAAGGAATCTGGTACATTTTTTAGACAAATCTGGTACATAACAAAAACATTCTGGCAACTATTGCCGCGTTTGAGAATCCACATCGGATGCATTTTTTACATCTCGAGTGTTTTTTTATCCACATCGGACACATCTGTCCCATTACATTTACGTATACTGAATCACGTGATCAAAGATTTTTTACATATCAGATGCATCCGATGTGGATTCTCAAATGCAGCATTAGTACCAAATCAAAGTACAAACTGTCAATGTCAATACTGTCATTCCATCGATTTTAATAAAATTAAGATTATTTTATTTGTAATTATTTAAAAAAATGTGTTTAATTGAGAACTGCAACTTTAATAAATTGGAAGGATGTGTGTCAATGTAATTATTGTTCAAGAAAAACTTTTAAGGCAAGGTAAATAAATAAAATATTTTAAGGTTATATTTTGTTTATTTACTTTATAATAAAGCAGTAATAAAGTTTTACGACTATAATTTGTTTTATATTTTGTTTCAGTATCTAGACCATCCAAAGACAACTTCAAAATGGTCTATTTTGTACACAATTGTAAATACTATGAAGTAAGAAGTAAACAAAAAATCTGTAAATTTTTTCCCACAAAATCTGCTAAAAGGAAAAATTAATTATTCTGATGAGGTAACTATTTGACATCATTATGGAAATGTACAATAAAAATTTGATTAAGATAAAGAGATAAATGGTTTTTACTTTAAAAGTCTAAATCAGAAGAATGATCAGCCAATTAATTTAATATACTCCATGAGAAATTTTACCTAAGAAATGGTATGTACATTTAAATAGTTTACCTATATAAAGTTATGTTTACAATTATCAATCGTGTTACCCTCTAACCAAGGTCGTTTGTTACAACAAACAAATATTTTATTTTAATGATATTTTTTTATTGCCTTGTTTGTATAATTTAGTATTTTTAAAAATATTAAATGTTATGGTAATTAGAATCACTACAGGTATTAAATAAAAATAAGGGTATTGGTAAAGTAGTTTACAGTTGGTACTAAAGAATGTCTCGAAATAAGTATCAAACGTAAATTGTGATTTTGATTAGGCATTTAACAAGTCACATCCCACATCTACATGCTCTGGCTAATCAATCCTATAAGTACATTAATATACTATCTATAATTAAACAATAATTTAAAAATACAGAAGAAGCCGATTTACCTATTTAAACAAAATTGTTATTATTCTATTATTTATTAAAACACATTATTTTTTAGTAAACTTGGACATGCAAAAGCAGCCATGAGGGTAGGACATTAGTGAAAGCAAGAATACTTTGGAATGTTCTGTAAAATACACTTAGAAAGTGTCATATGGAGAATTAAGTGTGATAACATTTTACGATATGCATCTCACTAGTTTAGTTCACAGATTTCTGTGTTCTGTGTTCAATTATGTGCTGCTATTTCAAACTTTTAGTATCCTTTTATAAAAGAAGTTGAATATTATTGTTGACCTTTTTAAATTGTTTATTTTACCTCATACATTTTTTTTCTACTCTTCATACAGTATTCTGTGAAGAGTATTATAGGTTTATTTTGTCTGTCTGTCCGATGTCAGGTTTTTTGTCTACACGATAAGTCAAAAACGAGAAATGAAATCAACTTGAAAATTTTAAGCAAAAATCAAGCTCTATAAGAGGACAAAGCTTATTGATTTTTAACAAATCTGATTAAAAATAGGGGGTTAAGATGGGTTGAAATTAAAAAAATCCTAAATTAAAAACGAAAAGCGATATAACATGAAATTTTTAGTAAAAATTAAGCTTTATAAGAAGATAAAGCCTATTGATACTGAAAAATATATGAATATATGGGGGAATTAAGGGGAGTTAAAATATAAAAAAAAATCCTAACTGAAAAATGATATAAACTTGAAATGTTTAGAAAACATCAATCTTTAAAAGCAGATGAGGCCTATTGATTGTGAAAACAATCTGGTTGAAAATGGGGGTTAAGGGGGTCTGTTAAACTACGAAGAGTATCCTCTAGAATGCCAGGCATTATATATCTTTATTCTAGTTTGTGTCTGTGTAATATGTATTGTGATGGGACTGATCTTATAAAATAAACATTTAAAACATTTTAGTTCTTATTTTATTTGCCAATAAAAGGTATTTAAAAAATATATTTTTTATTTGACATCTGTGACAAATTGTGAAAATGATTAAACTTACAATAAAAACTAAAAAATGGTAGGTAAAGTTTCATATAAAATTTTTTACACAAAAATCAATGTAAAGTTTCTACATTACCTGATATATATTTAAAAATAATCTCAAATTATGAAGAAAAGTCAGTTTACTAACTAATAATGTTTAGATTGTTTTCAACGTATTAAAAAAAAAAACAAATATTACACTAACTAAAATATTCATTTATTAATAGTTGTAATGCTTGAAAACAGTATGATGTTGATAATAATAATTACACTTAATACAAACTCAAATAATAAAAAAACAGTGATAATGACTTGTACAAGGTTTTGATCCGAACTTACAAATGATAAAATTATTGGAAAAAGTGAACACCCATTTCAAATTACCACTAGCCGCCACTGATGTAAATCCACCGACAGAGGATTGGCTTAAATGTTCCGGTTGCTCTGAATGGACTCATGAAGCGTGTTCATCTTACTCCGGACATGGTTCCTACTTTTGCGATGAATGCAATGAGTAATTGATGTTTTTTATGTATATTCTTTTAACCCGCCTACTGAATCCATTTTGCCCGCCCTGCTCGGGCAAAACGGATAAATTGCTTTTTTTTAGTTTATGTTTTTAAGAAAGAACATTGTTATTTTTGTAGTTTTTTCATTTTTTTAAATAAAGTTAATGTTTAAAATAATTATTTTTTCAATTTTTAAAAATAAATATATGACTACAACTCGCCTGTCAGATAATTAAAGTTGCCATATTCGTTCTGTCCGCCTCTCCCCTAGGTAGGTATATAATTTGTTTAACGAATCCACGTTGGGCGCCAATGTTCTAAGAAAGCATAGAGATCACCGATGCGAAAGAAGCAGAGAGTAGCGAGACATGAGGAATTTTTAAAATATAGACGTCAAATGTACGTACAGTTTCAATCTAGGGTTTTAAATAGTTAGGAGGAGTAGGTATTTTTATTATATTTTCAAATAAGAAAAGATTGCTTGTAATCGAAAACTTGGAACACCCGGTAGATAATATACCTATTTATATAAGAGATAATTTTTAAAATTTGCACCAACCTAGAATACGCCGGAGGGTAGGCCGGGGGCGTGAAAATGTTCCTAGCTAAAGGCAGGCCGTGTTGGCTGAGGGCGTCGCCGAAAAAGGCCTTCGGATAGGGTTGGGCGGAGCGATAGGGCCTCTTCATCCTTCTTCGCCGTCGGTAGTTGCCGTTCTCGAACATGTCTTCGTATTGCGGGTCCAGTGTCCAATAGTTGCCTTTGCGCTCGCCTCCACCTTCGCGAGGCACCTGAAATTCAAAGGAAATACTTAAAAGTTTATTTATCTTTATTTTTCCGATAAATTAACTCTGATAGTTGGGATATTGTCGTGAGCGTATAATTAAATTGTATTGTAAAATAGAATTCCATTAAAAGTTAGCATTATAAAAATTCATTTGACAGCAGGGCCGCCGAGAGCGATGGTGGGCCCCGGGACATTTTTATACAAAAATCAAAATCAAGTCCTTTCTATGTTGCATTTATAAAAAAAGGTCCTCAAACAAAATCAGTTTCTTTCTTAGTGAAATCTAAAAAAGGTCCTCGCCTTCTTGTATTTTTCGTAAACCAGGAGCTCCCTTTTGTGGTGAATTTCTAAACAAATGTAACGTCCTCAGCTAAAGCGTTGTCGGGCCCCTCTTGTAGGGATGCACGAGTTTGATTTAATTTTAAGAGTTTGACTTGAATTTGACTTGAATTCAAATCAAACTCAAATCAAATCTAGCAATGCTGTGAATCAAATCAAACCATAAAATTTTAAAGTTTAAAATATCAAACCTTATTTTGATCAAACTAGTTTGAAAGTTTGAATAATTAAATCGCTATGGTTTGCAAGTATTTTATTAGTACAAATATAAAAAAGCTGCTTAATACATGAAACAAAAATTAAGTATTTATACTTCGTTTGTTGGATATTAAAATAGAACAGAAATCTTGATTCACAAATTATAAATGTTGATATACATTTTCTTTATTTTAATGTTGAAATAAAGTCTATTAAAACTCTATTAGCCGTCCAAGAATTAAACATCTAACAGATTCATCATTTAGTCTATTCCTTCGTCGTTTGGTAATTGTTAGAAGCTCTTGAAAAAAATCTCTGTATTGATGCCATGATGCCGATGTAGCTATGGCTAAGAAATTTCTAGCCATTTTAGATAATATTGGAAATACAGTCTCGTGACTCTTCCACCAATTCAATACATTTTCTGAACTATTAGCCAGCCCTGCCTTCAGATAAATATTTTGTAATTTAATATTTCCGGGAATTTTTATCGACTGGGTCTGGGTTTTTACTACAAGATGTTTGAAAGAAAGCTATTACATCTTCAAAATTTTCGGAATCTTTACATCTTCAGAATCATATTCATTTTCATCGTGGGATAAATTCTGTACCGCTGGATTGAAATGGTTCAGGCTTGAACATTTCCAAATCACTCATTAGTATTTTTTTCCAAAGAGATAGGTGGTCAACGTAAGCCTCTGACTGTGTTTTGTGCCTCCGGCGATTGGCAAAATATAAAACTAAAACAAATAATCTTACGACGACGCCTCGTAAGCTGGGATCAGAGATAACATTGCGTAGGTAACTCTGAGAAATTAAAAATGCGGTACGGCCGGTGGACGTACGTAACACTTTTCGTATTTCAAACTAATTTCAAACAGTATGAAAAAGTTTGATTTCAAATCGAGCTCCCGAATTGGTTTTCAAATCTAATCAAACTCTTTTATATAAAAAAAATGATTTTTCAAGTGAAATCAAACTTGACCTGTCAAATTAAACTAGGCCCCTCTCGTCGGGCCTGTTTGACAATGACATATTTCACTTTCAAACCGATAGGTATAGTCAAAGATAATAGAGATATAACCATTCATTGATAAAATGTAATATTCCCGATGCCAAGATTAATTCGACAATCAATAAGCGCTATTTGTAGGGACGCGGCGTATAGACGAAAGATGAGAAGTAAGAGAGGGGATAAAGAGAAGAATTTTATGCAGATACAACTTTTTTTTTAAATAAATGTGTAAGCCGCTGTGCGCTTATAATAAACAATGTAAATATCCATGCCGGTGTAAGCTCTGTTGCCACGTCCAACTTAACATGACTAGGTTTTGGTATTTAATGAAAATTATTACATCTAATTTAGTGAAATTATCTTATTTAGTAAAATTTGATATAATTAATAATTCAAAATTTTTGTGGGTTCAGTTGCAATAAAATAGGTTGAATTATTTTAGCTTTTTAATATATGTAAATAATTTTGTAAACATAACGAGAATAATGAAATAGGCATATAACAACAGCAGATATTATACCCTCCTGTGTCCCTTAGAATATGTCTTATTCAGGACCGCACGATATTTGTTAGTAGTTACATCTCCTGATTCTCCTGTTATCTCTGAGTATAGTATGTAGAACCAGAAATATTGTAAGGTTATAAAACGCCAATCACTTTTGAGTTATCAGCAGACGGTCGCCTCTACGCAGAGACGTACCTACTCTAGCGTTTCTAAAATCGGTAAAGCGGCCAATTCTCAAAACCACTAGGTATCTAGATACTCTTGATTATTTAACTTTCTCTAATCTGTCTGAAATTATTTAAATATAGGGAAATGTTTATGGTTCATCATGGTTCAGGAGGCTAATCAGTCTGGGAATCGTGAAACGCCCAGTATACGGAAAATGTATGGAAAATAAATTAGTACACTTGAAACCAATTTAAGTATGACTGTAATCAAATGCAAGCAAATAAATGAAATCAAAGTTGTCGGAACCCCCTCGTATCTTAATAACAAAGCGATGGGAAGCGAAAATTTTCGTCTAGTGATAAATATGGTTATTTACGCGGTGTTTTGAACGGCGGACACGACGTTCGTAGCAAATAATATTTTGAATTTTGCCCAGAGTCGATCGAGAGCGTGTGTGTGAATTTAATTTTACAGATGTCGTCTGGCTTTATTCAATAACCAATTGTGGACGGAGAACGGAATGATTCAAATACGGCTGAATAAAAAATTAAAAGAAAAGAAATTTTACACGAAGTGAGGCGCGGAAATTAATTTAAACATCTTTTTGGGAAATTAGATAACGTCATCAGGAGAGAGAGAGAGAGAGAGAGAGAGAGCACTCTAATCCGGAACGGATCGAACCCCCGAAAAAGAAAAAAAAAATAAAATAATAAAAAATCGAAAACAGGTCGACTCTTTCACTTGGATGTTAACTGGGCGGTTTTTAAAAGAAATTGGATATAGTCGTTAACAAAGAGAGCACTCGGAGTCTAGCCTATGTCCAGCCTCAAATAAAAATTGCCAACGGTTTCCCACTGAGGGATTAAATAATATATCTTGGATATGAATCAAAATTTTTCACTTGTCGCACGGGTGTTCCAACTAATTATATAAAAGCCAATATAAAAAAAAATAATATACGATTCCTACCTTAGCAGATAAACGGGGTTAATCAATTAACTTTTTCGAAATCACGACACTCACGGAGCATTAACTAGGCACTATCTAAGGGCGAATAGTTTTCGGCTGTCGGCAATCAAGATAGTAGATCTTACGGCGGATGGCAAGCAAGAGGACGTAATTCCCAGATGTCATTTAATTTATGCTTTTTCACTGTGACAAGATGGAAGACCGGTAAGCCCGAGTGGGGATACCACTACTACAGCTGACTGTTTACAATTTAGAAATATAAAAAATGTCCTTCTAGTACCTTGACAAATAAAAGGTAGATAATCGGTACGAAATCGACTCTACAAAATGCCCATCCGGATTTCGGCAAATATAAGAATATTTTAATCTATGAGGGAACTCGCAATTGTTGAAAAACGGTAATTCCTGGGAAACAGAAATACGGGGGATCTTCTACATGTCCTCAGGCGGGAATTAATTGAAATAAATATTTTTTAAATTAATTGAGAGCAAAATTTAGTGACTTAGTAACAATACTTTACAATATATTTTACACTTGTAAGGGGGTGCTTAGGGATAGTAGGTATTAATATTATACTTAAAATGGCTTAGTTTTTAATACACTTATGAACAAATATTTAATACTACAAATATTGATTTATATATACACTTATCACAAAAACCCTGTACGCTATACATTTTTGGATTTTTGGACGAGATCAGTTTTTTCTGAATTGGATTGGAACTGACGTACGTAGAGTACCTATACAAATGGTATACTTTTGACCATTCAGAGGACGTCTCTTTCTGGATTATATTTAGACATTGTTCATCCACGCAATGAACGTTAAACAATGACCTACGTACTCTTTCATTGAAAGTTTTTGGTAGGATACTGGGACATCTAGAAGATGTCTATTTCTGGATTAAATTCTTACATTGCATGTTCTCTATAGAGAATGACGTCAGGCGGAGGCGTCAGGTTAACGCTGTTGACATCACTACACTAACATCTCCAATACACAACTACAATTCATTAGGTACACGCTATTTTAGATAATTAGTAAATAATTTATTAATTTCGAAACCCGCCAAACACTATTATATTTTACTATATTAAAAAACACTTGACACTTGACCTGACTGAGAATCGAACTCACGATACGTTGGTTAACATTTAACGCCTTCAGTTGATCTAGACGCCTGGTATCACGGAATTTAACAATTTGTTACTAGGTATGATTCTAATAGTTGATAAGATTTTATATCATTGGAATGAAATGCAACAGATTTAATTTTTCAATTTCTACCGACCAATTAAATTATATTTTGGAAAGAGAAGAATGCTAAATCAATAATGACCTAAGATAAACGTCCACTAGGAGTCAAAATATTACTAAACGTGTACTAAACTTATGTACAAAAACGGACGTCCACTGGGTACAGATATGCAGCTGTCAAATTAATCATAAACAGATGAACACTGGATGTCCGAATACAGCTGTGGACGTTCTGATCCTCAAATGGATCTAACATAGACGTTTCATTGGACTATTTATGCTGTCTGGGTAGAAAGAACCAGTTTACTTTTGAGTGAAGGAAATAAATTTTCGACTTCCACAACTATACTTAAATATTAATGTACAGGCCCGACGAGAAGAAGGGACAGGAGGGCAAAATCCTTCAGTTTAAAAAAAAGTAGGTTATAACATGTGGGGAGCGGACCTTTGCCAGTGTTTTGCCCCGGGACCATACCATGGCTCTCCGCGGCCCTGTCAATGTATAGATATTGTACTTACTTTAACAAAACACTCATTAAGACTCAAATTATGCCTAATAGAATTCTGCCACCCCTTCTTGTTCCTCTCGAAGTACGGAAACTTGGAGGTGATGTACTGGTAAATTTCGGACAACGTCGCCCTCTTCTGGTGAGTACTTTGAATGGCCATCGCGATCAGCGCCACATACGAATACGGCGGCTTACTCAAGTTGTTAGAGGACGAATTCGAAGTACTAGACGCTGTTGAAGATGATGGTTGCGGTTGGGGCGAATTGCATGAGGAAGTGCTGGGTGCTCGGGGTTCTTCGTTGGAGTCTACCGGCGTATGGGGGCCTGACGTTGTGGTACCGGCGAGCGCTGTATTAGAGATTGCGGCGAACGTTGTGACTGGAGACATTGCTGAAATAAAAAAAAATTGTGTTAAAGTAATTAAATTTTTGACTAAATAATTAAAATTATAATTATGCACATGCGCTACATGGTAATTTCAGTAAAGTTTGTAAACATTTCTAAAATATTAATTATCAAATAAAGCCAGATCTGAGTAAAATTCTCAAAAAAAGTGCTTCGAGTTCCAAGTCCTTTGGAAAACTAATTGCCACATCAAACACCAAGTACTTTGGAAATTCTAAGTCCAATTTGTGTGTCTAAGTGTAATTTGCAATTACCAATTACCTAAAAAAGTAATTGCACAAATCAATTATCAAGCACCAGTTACTCAAAAAGTGCATGAAATCATTGTTGATTACATACAGGTGCTAGCAAGCTTTTTTCTCAAACAAATTACTAAGAACCAAGCAAGCACTTATTACTTTTCTAATTGTTTTCTTCCATTTTAGCACCGTGTTTATTTTAAAAATGTACAAGCTCTTTTAAGCGCTTGCAAGCACTTTAAATAGCTTGAAATGCGAAATTAATTACCTGAAGCACTATTTTGCTTGAAGCACTATTTTGCTTGAAGCACTATTTTGCTTGAAGCACTATTTTGCTTGAAGTTAAATATCTTTAATCAATCTCCTTCCCCCCCTTGAGATTAAAGTTTTTACATATTGAGCCTAGGGATATGGGCGAAGTTAAGGGGGGGCTTGGGGGGGCTAAGCCCCCCCAAAAACCAAATTAGCCCCCCCAAAAATAATTAGAACATTTATCGCACATCCACCCAAACATTTCAGAACAGAAATTAAAAAATAAAAAGAATCGTGCCATTTGATTGATTCTGCAATTTTACATTTAGTTCATGAGGCAGTGAATTTTTTTCGTATTCATTTTTCCAGTCGGTGTATATGAAAAATAAACTGTTCTCTTAGTGACAAAAAACAAAGTTTTTGAGTCTGACACTTATTTTCCCAGTCATAACTATTTTACATTTACTAAACTAGAACATAAAGCTTATAAAAATAGCAGTTTGGATTATCTCAGATAGTGGAAAGTGAGTGTGGCAGAAAATTGAGCATATAAATTGATACAATCATAAACTGTTTATAATAATAAGTCTGGCTGATTTACGAAATTGGCTAATGAGTCTGGTAATATCTTCTAAATGGAAAAAATATAATATTTTTGCTTTTATTTTCCCGGGTTTGAAAATTTGTCACGTGATAGATTAAATTATAATTTTACACCTCCATTTTATAGCCAATCAACTGCTGTTATTTTAAAACACTTTCATGACAACCAGAAAAATTTCCGGAAATTTTTCTTTTGGTGGATACCCTGAACGAAATTATACTGAAAATTTTTTTGACAGTTGAGCAGCTCTTTCATGCATATAAAAAATTTGCCATTTCAGTGGTTAATATTTTATTTAATACCAATTATAACTAGGTAGAAATGCACTACATTTATTTTATGTAAAATAATAATTAGGTTTTTCGCGTCAACTAAACGACTTCAAATATGACAAATGGTCATGGTATGGTCACAGCATATTCTGTGGTATGGCTACCTTAAAAAATTTGATTTTAGTCGTTTTAATGCATGCCTGTCAAGTTTTAAAATTTGGATATTTTGGTGTAAAACTTTCTTACCCAATACCAAACGTGCCTAAATTATTATCAGTAAATTTTTGCACACTCACGCATATTTTAAGAACATTATCCATCTACTTAGGATAAATTTCAAAATATTCGTAAGTGAAAATACACGTCTGGCTGACAATTACAATTACAGAGGCCTGCCAGACTCACAAGTAGTGTCCGACCGAAGGTTCGGTTACGGTTTCGGCCAACTTTGGCTTTAAATAATAGTTTCGACTACAGTTTCGGTTTCGGCGGAAAACTGGCCGAAACTGCAGCCGACAGCGAAACTACTTTTAAAAGTTTTCGTATCACAATTGGTTGTGTCCGGCGCAATGGCGACTGTGCCGGGTGCCATTCCTACACAGTGCACGACCACGTACACACAAACTTCTCTGCTTTGTTTCAAGTGAACATGTCAATAAATTTATTAATGGCTTCTTTTGATCACATAAATAAACAGGTAATAAGTAAATGTAGCTAAAATTTATAATACGAGTTAATTAGTTTAAAACAAGGATTACAATGAGATATTGCAAATTTCAATAAGAGATTGCCTTAAAAGAAAGTTCTTGTTTCTGTTTCGGCCGAAACTAAGAAAGGAGCCGAAATTTGGTTTCTGTTTCGGTTATAAAACCAGACCTGACGGTCATTAGACGAGTCTGGCAAGGCTTTCGGGGTGTTCCACATTAGCCAGATTGTATTTTAAGCTGTTATCATAATATACATTTTTCTAGTAGTGAGAACACTTGTAACAGGGATCCTTACTGGACATTGCCAACTAAAATTACACCTTAGTAAACTGAGAGTAGTAGAAGATAGTGCAGATTTTGTGAGGAGGAGGAAAAAATCTTCATTCACATTCTAACTAAATGTGTAGCACTTGAGAATCCAAGGGCACTATACCTAGGAGCATATCAAATAGAAGAGGGAAATTTACCTAACTTGAAGCCACTCCAAATCCTACACTTCCTTGAGAAGGTATAATTGGAAGGATCTTTATTCGCGATTCAAGCTAAGTGATACGCCCTCTGGAGGAAATTTGTAGAAGGTCCCTATAAGTAGGATATCGTTCAGTGTTGCCAGAAGTAGCAAAATTTCTCTACGTCATCGGATTTTAGCTCTTGAAGAAGTGGATAAGACCTTTTATTTAAGAATCAAAATTTGTGTATAGTAATATGTAATCATACTCTATATTTATTTAAGGACTTTTTTAAAAAATCGATTTATTATATTAATTTTTTTTTTAATTTCAGTTCATTTATTAATTTTGTTTTAAAATCAGTTCATCATTTGGCAACGAGTTCATTGTTTACATTTTAATTTGTATCAATTACGATTGGAGTTTTTCTTACTTTTTAGCTTTAAATTTGTTTATTTCTTATAGTATGTGATAGTGTTTATGTTAAAAATGAAATCTGCGAAAAAGTCCCCAGCAAATTGCAATCTATATGGTGTTAATGTCAAAATCAAAACTGAAGTATTCATTATTTTCCAAGTGCAAGTCGTAAAATTTAGTTTTTTACCATAAATGGATATCTACAAATTCACAATATTGAAATTTTGCAAAACTTTGTTTAGAATCGATATATGATATTTTATCCATTTTCATAGATTCGCCTGAATTTTTTTACTTAACTTCAGTAGGTATACCTCTAGAACTATTATATATTATATGACTAGGGCTTTAGCCCCCCCAGATCTGATGACATAACTTCGCCCATGCTAGGGAAGCAAAAAATCCTTCGATAGTTTCTACACGATTTGCGTTTATCTGTTTATCTTCTTTTCGTTGAAGAGCAAAAAAAACTTCGTCACAAAAAATATGTACACCCTTATTTTATTAAAAAAATATGCTTCTTATGAGTAGCATCCCCAACCCAAATTTCAGCTTGGAGCCGCCTTTGACTAGCGGTAAACATCATCGCACGGATGTTTTTACCAACGCGTCGATCAAAAGAATGAATAATGCCGACTACTCGTAGATACATTCTACGAGTAGATTTAAAATTGCTTGCAAGTACGAGTAATAAGTAATAAGTACTTCAAATGAAAAATATTTATGACTAAAAATTACGAGTAGTTATTTTACCCGTAATCGAAATTATTAGTTAGATTATTAGTGAACAATATAAATTGAGACAATAATTGGGGCTAACTGCATTTCTTGTCAAAATATATAATTAATATAATGTAAATATGGAACATAAAAATTATCCAAACAATATTCAGTCTGATCTACTGAAAAGTTGACTAAAATGACATAGGGAAGGGTGGGGGAAGACCGCGCACCTAAGGCTAATAATTAATTATTAGCACATGAAAATTATTTGAAAAACTAAAATTGATAAAGCATATTAAGCATTTATTAGGGAATACTAAGTAATATATTAGTTGACTTCTGTTTTATATTTATTGAGAAATTTAATTATTTTTGAAACAATGCATATGCGCAATATTTCCCATCCTGCGGGGTAATAACGCGCATATTAAAAAAATCGAATTTAATGCTAGAACACTCCTTTTAAAATTATTTGTAAAATAATTAAAAGAAAACAGGCACTCCAAAAACATTTTTTTTATTGTTTTAGGTCAAATAAAATATATTTTTTTTCTTCTTAAAATAGCTATATTTAAATTTAAAATACTTAAATTTTTAAAGCCTTTTTTCCTTTCTTTGTGCATTACGCTTCCTACACAAATCACGGGTGTAATTTTCTACAGTATCCCAACCGCTGCATTACGCACCGAAACCATAATTCCCGATCTCGACCAAATTTTTCGCAATATATTCTCGCCATTCATAAAATTTTCAAGTTACACATCATCATCATCGTCATCAGCCACATCCTACATATCAACATCTAATTCTTCAGTTTCCTCTTCACTTTCAGTTGTCGTTTTTCCTCGACTTTTTTTAAATTGACATTATTTTTCTTGAAGCTGGTTTCATCGCTTTCAACTCCTTTTTTTATTTTCTTCCGTAAGTTTATTTTTTAAAGGGGTGTTTGTTAAAATTTGGTAGTGTTGTTTATTAGTTCCTCTTTTTATTTTTCGAAATCCTTTTCTTGGAATTGGAGCTACATCTTTAATGCTTACAACTGAGGATATTTAAATTGGACGAGTTTTGTATTTTTGAACTTGGATTTGGTCTACGTGGGCCTTCTAGTGCTAGACTCTACTGGGTCAACTGATGCTGATGTGTTTTCTCCCGGTTCCACTTGATTATTATCTTCCAATTCACATTCAAAACTTACGGTTCTAAACTCCTCAGCTGGAGCAAAATTATCCGCTATAAATATGTCTCCATTTAGGGGAAATATTCCAGTAGCTCTAAATCCAGCTACTCCTTTTTCCATTGTGGCCACCTTAACGCAAGCTTTA